CACAAAAGGCTTCCACAGCCCTGGCAGCCCACGGCAAGAGCATCGGTTGATCACTGACTTCATAAATAAGAGTGCTAATTGTTAAAGGAACAATAGAAGTCACTGTGCACTCACTCCCCATGTAGGACCTCAGTCTTTAATGAGTTGTACTACGAGAATTAACTGCAAAACTTGTTCTCAAACTGTACTCTATATGTTGTGTGTGTGGGTGCAAACTGTTGAAATCTGTTCTTAACACAGACTTGGACCTCTGTACAGAAAAATAAACTAAAAATGAACCATGATGAAGAAGGGGAAGGGAGAGGGAGTATGAGGTGGGACGGGAGTCGGGTGGGAGGGTGGGTATGGGGGAAAGAACCACTATATTCCTAAAGCTGTACCTATGAAAAACGCATTCATTAAATAAAAGCTTTAAACAAAAAAGACTATTAAAGAACATAAAATAACAATTTGTTAAAAAATTAATTTCTTATTTCTTAAATTTCAAATTAAACACAGGTATTAGTTTAGTTGCTATACATCAAAAGAAAATAAATCTTATAATGGCTCAAAGGCTTTTTAATTTTAGAGGAACATTTTGGTCTTCAGTACACTGGCTATCCATTTTTAAATGTATGTTTCCCAAGAACCTGCAAGAAAATATCAAATTTCATTATATAATGAATTTACATCGCAAATAAATTTGCCACGTAACTAATGAAGTTAAGAATACTCTTAACAGGAAAAAACAAAATAAACAATTTTGAACATTCAAAACACATAAAACTGTCAAATGTATTTCAAGAGTCATTGTGTATATCCTTTAAAGAGCAATAAATGCTTAAAACACGCCTTACATACATTTCTCACTGTCCGTTTATTAATTTTTTTATTTTTAGTTGTTCAACAGAGAGACACCGAGAGACAGAGACAGACTGACAGACAAAGTTCCCATCCACTGACTCACTCCCCAGGCCTGGGTAGGACCAAAACCAGCAGCATGGAGCTCAGTGCAGCTCTGCCCAGTGAGGGGCAGGCACCCAACCACTGAGCCATCACTGACCGCCTCCCAGGGTCTTACTGGCAGGAAGCTGGAATTGAAACAGGAGTTGAGAACCGAACCCACGCCCTCCAATGTGAGACAAGGCGTCTTTACAGGCATTTTAAACCCAGCCTAAGCCAACTGTCTAGCAGGAGCCTAATTTATGAAAGTACTTTTTAAAAAAACATACAAAAGAACACAGTTCTTTTCCTTGAGGTCTCAGAAAGAAGATACATAGTTAAGTATAAACTATATATATATATATATATATATAAAATGATAAGCTCTATAATGGATTTTTTGAGCTACCAATCACTTACTATTATATTTAGCCCACAATAAACAGAATGTTTGCTATTATCATGTGATATTAATTAAGCATTTAAGGAATTAAACTAATGTATTAGCTATCCTATCATATATCAGGAATTAGCAAAAGTAACTTCCAGCACTCTTAAAAAGCCAACGTACAATTTATCCAATCCTTCCAACTTCTGTTTTGAATAGTTTATATGACAACTGATTAAATCATTTCTAAAGCAGAACCTGAAGTTATGCAACCTTTGGGGGGTAAATACTATTTTAAAATATATATCATCCAGAAGATACTGACAAATGACTTACTACTGGGAGCAGAAAAAACCTATTTTAAAATGCATAGAATGAATACTAAAATAAAATCTTATAAATACAAAGTAAACTAATATTAAAATGCAAAAAGTTTTTTAATGGAGGAGTCAAAAGAAGAAAGCATTGCAATGGAAAACTTAAAATACATATAAGATACAGAAAGAAGCAGAAATTCACTGATGAAAAATTAAGCAGTGGAGGATGCTTGTGAATGGTTATGACGTGGAATTAAAAAAAAAAGAAGAGGGAGAGAAATACGATCAAGGGGCATTCCTGAAGCCTGCAGCAAACATCCTACTAGATGGAGAGAGACTGCACGCTTCCTCCGTAAAACTGGAACAAGGCAGGGTACTCACACCCACCACTGACACCCCGCATCAGACTGCAAGTCCACACCAGCAAAGCGACTCAAGAAAAGTTAGGATAAACGATAAGGAAGGGAGCCCCGAACACCCAGAAATCACAAGGAATCTATCAAGATGCTGCTATCACTAATTGGTGCTCTTAACCAAGCTCAGGATAGACAATCAATATAGAAAAATCAATGCTATTTCTGTGTACTCACAATGAACAAACGGAAACCAAAATTTAAAAACACAGTGCTATTTGCAAGACTTCAACAAAAAAAGAACAAAATGCTGAGGTATAAATCCAACAAAATATTTGCAGGATCTACATGCTGAAAATGAAAAACACTGATGAAAGAAATTTTAAAAACCTAAATAAATGGAAAGACCCAATGCTGTTAAAAAGTTACTTCCCCCTACAAATGATCTATAAATCAAACAAAACCCAACTATTTCTCAGCAGGTTTTGTAGAAACAGAAAAGCTGACTTTCTTTTTTTTTTTTTTTTTTTTTTTTTTGACAGGCAGAGTGGACAGTGAGAGAGAGAGAGAGACAGAGAGAAAGGTCTTCCTTTGTTGTTGGTTCACCCTCCAATGGCCGCCGCGGCCGGTGCACTGCACTGATCTGAAGCCAGGAGCCAGGTGCTTCTCCTGGTCTCCCATGGGGTGCAGGGCCCAAGCACTTGGGCCATCCTCCACTGCACTCCCTGGCCACAGCAGAGAGCTGGCCTGGAAGAGGGGCAACCGGGACAGAATCCGGTGCCCCTGACCGGGACTAGAACCTGGTGTGCTGGCGCCACTAGGCGGAGGATTAGCCTAGTGAGCCGCGGCGCCAGCCAAAAAGCTGACTTTCAAAGTCAGAAAGGCAAAGAAACTAGAACAGCCGAAACAATTCTCAAAAAGGACAAAGTCAGCAGCTCACACAACCTGAGTCCTGATGTTAAGCTTAATCTGGCTACAGGAATTAAGCTAGCGTGATATTGGCACCAAGAGAGACAGATCAACAGAATCAAAGAGAGTCCAGCCGGCGCCACGGCTCACTAGGCTAATCCTCCGCCTTGCGGCGCCAGCACACCGGGTTCTAGTCCTGGTCGGGGCGCCAGATTCTGTCCCGGTTGCCCCTCTTCCAGGCCAGCTCTCTGCTGTGGCCAGGGAGTGCAGTGGAGGATGGCCCAAGTGCTTGGGCCCTGCACCCCATGGGAGACCAGGAGAAGCACCTGGCTCCTGCCATCGGATCAGCACGGTGCGCCGGCCTCAGCATGCCGGCCGCGGCGGCCATTGGAGGGTGAACCAACGGCAAAGGAAGACCTTTCTCTCTGTCTCTCTCTCTCACTGTCCACTCTGCCTGTCAAAAATAAAAAATAAAAATAAAAATAAATAAATAAATAAAATAAAAGAATCAAAGAGAGTCCAGAGAAAGACTCACACAAATCTGTAAAGCAATTTTTTTTTTACAATGAGAGAAGGCAATTCGACAGGTAATTTTGGAATAAATGGACACCCATGCTCAGAAAAACGGACCTCCGAACTGCACTTTATGCCTTCCACAGAATTTACTCAAAATGGACGTTAGACCTAAATGTACAACAAAAATGTATAAAACAGAAAACTGCAAAAGACAAAATCTTTGTGACACTGAATTAGGCTACAAATTTTGATACCAAACCAAAAGTAGAACATGAAGAGAAAAACTGAAACAGCCAACTTCATCGGAATGAGAAGCTGTGGTTCCAGAAGAGAAAACCACAGAATGAGAGCAAATACGCACAAGTCACATACCTCCCGAAGGACTCACGCTTAGAACACGTGAAGAACACACAAACTCCAGAGCGGAAGCAAACACCCTTGCTCCACATAGCGTAACCAAAAAAAATGACAAAAACTTCCATGCATCTCTGTATGCTAGGATTTATTCCTTTGATTACTCTTTATGTTATAATGAGATTTTTCTGTTATAATGTGAAAATACAGGTAACAAAAGGATTGAAGAGACACTTCACCATAGCAAATACATGGATAGCACATTTGCACATAAGATCATCAACACTGTATTAAGGAAATGCCAATTAAAAACACAAGATATCACTACAAACCTCACAGAAACAATTAAAAACAACCAACACCATCAAGTGCTAACAAGGATTTGGAACTGCTAGAACTCTCAAATACGGCAAGTGGAAATCCAAAATCATACCAACCCTCAACAAACTCTTTCAGAAAATTAAGGATGTAGGGGACACTTTGCAACTAATTTATGAAGCCAGTATTTTTCTCATACCAGAACCAGCCAAAGGCATCAGAAGAAAACAACAGACCAATATCCTTCAAAATATACAGAAAAATTCTAACAAATTATTAGGAAATCAAATTCAGCAACTTATAAAAAGGATTATAGCCCATGATCATGTGAGATTTATCCCAGGGTTACAAAACTGACTGAATTAATTAACATGATACAAAACATGAATAGAAAAAAATGGCAAAATCTATACAATCATTTCAGTCGCCAAAAGTTCTATGATACCGTGGTTATTCTGTGCTTTTCCCAAAGTGTGTGTTTCATTCAGTGTTCACTCAATTTAACAAATGTTCACTGAGTTCCAACTGCATGCCGGCACTCTGCTAAGTCCTAATGCAGACACACAAAAACAGATGACGGCGTATTCAGGAAAATCCTAAGTCTTATTCTGCACAGGAACCTGGGTAAAAGCAGCACCATTTATACACAAGGACTTAAGCAAAAAAAAAAAAAAGACTGTCTCATTTTCTCATTTCTATTCTGAAGTTAAGAAGGCATATTTTAAACTGGCAATTAAAAGTAAAACACACTGTGGTAGAAAATATGTTAATATATGGAAATAACTTTATAGGAATATTGTGCATATATTTTCTCTTGCCTGACTCTAACTCTCAACAAAATATCCTCCCCTTCACATCTCTTCATGTATAAGTCTCTGTGCCACACATTACTGAAAAATACCTTTGAGTCAGTAAGTTCTGTACCTTGTGGGGAGCCAGGATCCTCTGCCTGAACTTCTCGACCGTCTCTTGGCCCACGGCAGCCCAGGCGCTGGCGAATGCCTCTGCTTTGTCTCGGCTCAGATGGATGCTCTGTAGCTGCTGCTGCAGAGCCGCCGGCTTCACGTTGTGATACACGGCCTGTCAGAGAGGGGACCACAAACACCCTCACAGTCCACACAGCCCGAAGCTGCAGTCACGTTGTGATACACGGCCTGTCAGAGAGGGGACCACAAACACCCTCACAGTCCACACAGCCCGAAGCTGCAGTCACGTTGTGATACACGGCCTGTCAGAGAGGGGACCACAAACACCCTCACAGTCCACACAGCCCGAAGCTGCAGTCACGTTGTGATACACGGCCTGTCAGAGAGGGGACCACAAACACCCTCACAGTCCACACAGCCCGAAGCTGCAGTCAGCACAAAGCTATTTCTAAACAACTTAAACCAAACACTGTATTACATTCCTACTGCCGTCGTCTTGGTTGTTTTGCAAATAATTATATATACAACCGAGGGCTGGAAGATTCAGGATTAAGTGAACTAAATTATTCAAGCTAAGCTTTCTCATTTTTGCCTGTGGTTTAAGTAATCATAAATCCACTTAATAACCAGAACACTTCTTTGCTTTGGCTATGTAAATAGTTCCCTAATTAAAATTTCACTCATATATTTCACTTAATTATTTTAAAGACACGTACAACAGTCTTGTTTCCCAAAGAACATTTTTTTTTCCAAAAAGCACTTTTCAAATCTATCCTCTTCTACCAAATTCCCAGTTAACACATGTAGAAGAAATAAAAACCATGAACTTTCCAACAGCAATACCTGTTGTTCCTTACATTATTCCGGGACAGCTCTCCTACACAGCCCACGCTGTGATGTCCTACTCAATCATCTCTTCCTTCCGGGGAAGGCCCACCAAGGCCAAAAACCACAGCCACGTTCACGATCTGCAACCTGCAGAGGCAGCAGCAGAGCCTGGCACGGTGGCCTAAGAACAGCTGTTTCCTATAATGCTCCTGACGCCGCAGTACTTCTTAAACTTTCACTTCTCAAGAATTCATTTTATCAAACATCAGGAATTCACTGAGGAACTGTTTGAAGCCCAGCAATGGGCTGGATCTACACAAGACAAAGAAAAAGTAGGATCCTGGCCCTCCATAAATTCAAAATCTCATGAGGGAGACATACCCAGCACACAAGAAACGATGACAGACTAACGACCGCTGGACCACGAAGAGCCAAGGATAAAGAAATCCAGAGGGAAGAGGCCAGGACAACGGGTGAAGGGAGAGGGTGACCGGGCGTGCTCAGCAGGAAACACGCGAGGACTGCCGCCTCTCCTCTCCACGTTTTAGTCATTATCCTCGTCACACACTCACAGCTCTTCAAATAATTCATTTTATTTCAGTGCTCAAATAAAATGAATTCATTTTTCCAAATTATACCAAGTAACAATTCAAATCTTTTATAACTGTCTCAAGTCAATGAAGTCTCAATACAGACTGTCAAATATTTTGCTAACGCTGCTCAAAAGTAAGATGGTTTTGTAGAATGAAATAGAGTAGAAAGAAATCATGCAAATATACTTTACTACATGAAATTCCTGACTAAAATAAACCCACAGCTTCCAGCTTATACACCTTTTAAAAATTGAATGGTACAGTTATCAGAGCAATGCAAATATATATTAACCAAACTGTAGTTAAGAAATTTGAGGCAGTAAAATACCTGTTCTAAAATAAATGCTATTGTCTCAAGAACTAGGTGAAGATCCTGTTTCTCTAGAGAAAACGCAGCTTGAAGTTTTTCTTCCTCTTCTTCGCTGAAACTGCTCTCGGCCTGCAACACAAAGAGCAATCCATCAGCACACATTCCGGGACTGAAGTCCAAAGTGATAAAAGATTTCTTTTTTTCCCATTATGAAATGAACTTTAAAGAAAAGGTGAATCCACCATGAGGCAAAATCAATCAATGTGCTTGCAAATTTCTAAAATGCACAGTGGCCCATTCTAGGGTTCTGCAGTCAAAGTAAACTGGATCAATGTCATGTAGAGTCATAGACAGTGAGAGAGAGAGAAAGGTCTGCCTTCCATTGGTTCACCCCCCAAATGGCCGCCACGGCCGGCGCTGCTCCGATCCGAAGCCAGGAGCCAGGAGCCTCCTCCCGGTTTCCCTCATAGGTGCAGCAGCCTAAGCACTTGGGCCATCCTCCATCTGCCTTCCCGGGCCACAGCAGAGAGCTGGACTGGAAGAGGAGCAACCGGGACAGAACCCAGCGCCCATATGGGATGCCGGCGCCGCAGGCAGAGGATTAACCAAGTGAGCCACGGCGCCGGCTCCTCAATGTCATTTTTTATGATGACTTACATCCTCAGAGCTCTATGCTCAGTATCGTCAAGAACTTCCGAGACACAGGGATGACTGCTCATCCAGTTTAAAAAACAAAGTCTCACACTGCGGAGCTTCTTTTTATTTCTTGCATCTGACTTCCCATCTCTCCATCCCGTGATCAGAGGTCATGTCCTGAAACCACCTACATGCCCCATCAGAGCAGCACGCCCTGCCCCGGCTCACGGCTCTGGCCCTCCATGGTGGGGATCCCACACAGCTGACCAGACTCACAGCAGCTCTCCAAGAGGCTTTGGGTGGAGCAAATTACCTGAGGGAGGTGGGGAGGAGGGGTGTAGGGGTGCGTGTGTGTGCATGTGTGTTCCCTGCTATGGAAGTACACCTGACTTCCCCTAGTGTTTCCCAACACAGACTACTAGCCTGCTAGATGGGACGTTGTAAGGTTTTAAAAGTCCCTGGACACTAAAGACAGCAGCATCCTCCTCACACTGCAACAATCAAACTCAAAAAAAAAAAAACAAAAACAAACAAACAAAACACATGTGTCCGCACATCTAGCACGGGCCAGGGAGAAGGCCACTTCAAGGAGGACTCCCAGATTCAGGCCCAGGCACACCCACACTCCCTAGCTAAGCTGTATTAGCTTCCTGGGGTTGATTCCTACTGGGGCGCTAAGGAAGCTGTCTGGACAAAAACAGGTACTGTCTGCCTGTTAGCAGTGTAACTAAGTAGAGTCGAAGTGCCACGCTGGTGACACCCACAGTAGCACCCAAATCTCTCAACCTCTGCGCCTGCGGTGTGGGCTCTGCCTGTCTCAAGGCAAAGACAGATCAGACCCACCCAGAGGGCACAAAAGGCAGCAGATCCTGAAACCCACCGCGAGCTCTGCCAGTGCTTGTCTCAGCGGTCATCCCGACACCAACTCCGGCCAGGAAAGCCCTGCGCCCACGTGTCCATCCTCCACTGCCACAGGCCTCACAGCACACATGGTGCCTGCTGCTCAGCTCCACAGAGGACTGGCAGGGCCAGAGACAAACTGCACATCACAACTTCGCTGCAAACGTTCCCTCCCGCCCCTACGAGGAACACAAGGCGGGATGCGCTCCCCGTCCCGTGCTGTTCTCCACGCTGGAGAAGGCAGCTACCAGCTCCGGAGAGGGCAGAACGTCCGTATCCAAGGCCTGGCCCATTCCCGGCTTCACCTCCTGCCTGAGGTTTAGAGCAGGGGGCTCCGGTGGTTCCTGGGCCTCTGTGTAAACTACAGTGAGTTACTCAACCGGTCTCCAGCTCAGCTTCCTTGTGGACAGACGGGGTGACAACGGTACCCACTTCTTCCAGCTGCTACAAAGAGCAGAGCACCTGCTAACACAGCGCCACTAACCGGTGCAGGCGCTGAGGGAGCAAGCTCACGGCTTCTGAACAGCAAACACGGCCAAGGGCTGCGGCTGCTGGAGATCTTGTCTCCATCTACAGACAAACTTCCAGCAGCTACAGTCTGATAGCACCCACATCTGTCTTGTGTCCCACGTGGCAAAGAATGAATCCCAACAGTATCTACTGAGCGCCAACCGAATACGAAGCAATGTATTGAGTATGGGAAATACAGGATGGGTAAGACATGACCCTCAAGACAGTCAAGGCCATGAAGCCGGCGCCGCGGCTCACTTGGTTAACCCTCCACCTGTGGTGCCAGCATTCCATATGGGCACCGGGTTCTAGTCCCGGTTGCCCCTCTTCCAGGCCAGCTCTCTGCTGTGGCCCGGGAGTGCAGTGGAGGATGGCCCAAGTGCTTGGGCCCTGCACCCCATGGGAGACCAGGAGAAGCACCTGGCTCCTGGCTCCTGGCTCCTGCCATCGGATCAGCATAGCTCTGGCCGTAGCGGCTGTTTGGGGAGTGAACCAATGGATGGAGGACCCTCCCTCCCTCCCTCCCTCCCTCTCTCTCTCTCTCTCTCTCTCTTTCTCACTGTCTATCTGTCAAATAAAAATAAAAATAAATTTAAAAAAAAAGATAGTCAAGGCCAGGGGCAAGCTGGTGGAGAGGGTTAGGACTCAGGTGCTTCTACTCATGAAACAGTACTTACAGGAGAGCAGTCACACGAGGTGAGAACGAACCAAGTGTTAAAGAGCACAGAAGAAGCAAAACCAAACTCTGCCGAGAGCAAGACGGCGCAGCCCACGGAGGAGAGAGGGTGGTTCAGGCAGGCAGCAGAGCACACTGGGCAAGGGGAAGAGCGCCTGGGCAGACGCGGGGCAAGAAGCTCGCGCCTGGAGCCCAGGCTTTCCTACGCAGGCTGAGCACAGAACGTCTAAGGATTCTGAACTGTTCTCCTGGGGGCGTGCACAGTCACTGGTGCCTGAACATGGCAAAGATATGATTTTTTTTTAGAAAAAAAACATTTGGAAAGGTAACTGGCGTAATGTTATGAAAAAGAGACAGGAAACACGAGCACCACAAGCAGGGATACTGATCTGAAGGAAACTGCTACCGCTGCAATAAGGACCTGAATAGGCTCTCATCACAACTCGGATTTGAGAGATGTTTTCAGGCCACCTCCTGACCAGGCCAAAGAGGAGGAGCCAGTAAAAAGCAGTCCTGGTTCTTATCCAACGGCGATGGCTGCACCAAGCTGAGCAGTCACTGGGTGCCCCATAAACACATGCTGGATGGAATGACATTTTTCATAATCCAATAGAAATTAAAAATTAAGGTGGACTGGTGACCAAGTAGTAAATTACCAAATATCCACATACCCAAAGCAATCACACCCTTGAAATAAGATAGCCAAAATTAAATGAAAGAAGACATACTGATTTACAGCAAATACCACAATTTTTTTTTTTACAGGCAGAGTGAACAGTGAGAGAGAGAGACAGAGAGAAAGGTCTTCCTTTGCCGTTGGTTCACCCTCCAATGGCTGCCGCGGCCGGTGCACCGCGCTGATCCGAAGGCAGGAGCCAGGTGCTTCTCCTGGTCTCCCATGGGGTGCAGGGCCCAAGCACTTGGGCCATCCTCCACTGCACTCCCTGGCCACAGCAGAGAGCTGGCCTGGAAGAGGGGCAACCGGGACAGAATCCGGCACCCCGACCAGGACTAGAACCCAGTGTGCCGGCGCCGCAAGGCAGAGGATTAGCTTAGTGAGCCGCGGCACCGGCCACCACAAAATTATTTTTAAAACCAAGAAAAACACAATCAGAATTTTTAGCAAAATATGTTCAACATTAAAAAACATTAGTCCCTAGGGGCCAGTGCTGTGGCACAGTAGGTTAATCCTCTGCCTGCGGCGCTGGCATCCCATATGGGCGCCGGTTCTAGTCCCAGCTGCTCCTCTTCCAAGCCAGCTCTCTGCTATGGCCTGGGAAAGCAGTAGAAGATGGCCCAAGTCCTTGGGTCCCTGCACCTCATAGGAAACAAGAGGAAACTCCTGGCTTCAGATCAGCACAGCTCCAGCCATTGCGGCCATCTGGGGAGTGAACCAGCAGAAGGAAGACCTCTCTCTCTCTCTCCCTCTCTCTCTCTCTGCCTCTCACTATCTGTAACTCTAACTCTCAAATAAGTAAATAAAATTTTCAATAAAAAAAAATCAGTCCCAAAATATATACCATAATAAAACAGGTCCAAGGTCAAACATACTTGGAAATGTGACAAACCATATTCACTCTTAACAAACACCTCCTATACTAAAGACTCTGGAAAGATCCATAATTAAAAAAAAAAATTAAACCTCTCAGTGCTTCCAAACTTTTGACCATGGAACATTATCAAATCTTCCAAAGACTCAGTGATCCTGAGAACACTTTGCAAAATGTTCTCCAAGGAATAACACAGAGCTTCAGAAACATCAGAAAGTACTATCTCGGGGTGGTGCTGTGGCGTAGCAGGTAAAGCCGTGGCCTGCAGTGCTGGCATCTCATACGGGCGCTGGTTCGAGTCCTGGCTGCTCCACTTCCAATCCAGCTCTCTGCTATGGCCTGGGAAAGCAGTGGAAGATGGCCCTAGTGCCTGGGCCCCTGCACCTGCGTGGGAGACCTGGAAGAAGCTCCTGGCTCCTGACTTCAGATCTGCACAGCTCTGGCTGTTGTGGCCAATCGGGGAGTGAACCAGCGGATGGAAAACCTCTCTAAACCTCTGCCTCTGTGTAACTCTGCCTTTCAAATAAGTAAATACATTTTTTAAAAAACAAAAAGAAAAAAGTAGTATCGCACGCAACATAAATACAAAAATACAAACCTTCAGGTGAAGTTTCTGCAGAATTCGGGTAAGCAGTCGCGGAAATCGTCCTATGTCTATTGCATTTATCAGAGTCACAGCTTTTTTCATGCTAGATAAATTCAAAACACAGAGTTCACAGTGTTCCCGGTTCTCCCGACTTCGACAGCTAACCCCTAAGTTCCCAACTCTGACGCTCTGGGGTGAGCCTGAGCCACGTAAAGAACACACGAGGCCCTGGGAGACCCCGGCCCCGGGGGACCCCCAAAAGGATGCCCAAAGGGTCTCCCGCTGAAGGGCCCTCCAGCAAAGCGAGCCAAGCCGCGGGGCTCCCACGCGCACCGCACAGCGGCGGCCACCCCGCAAACGCCGGTCACGGGGCCACCGGCACGTCCCTCCCCGCGCCCCGTGGACCGCGCCTTCCCCACGCCGGGCGCGCGCCGGGGGGAGCCCGGGCGGACGGGAACTACAAGGGCAAGTGCCCTGTCAGGAAGTCCCTGCCTTCATCGGGGCCGTGGGCGCTGCAGGAACTGCACCGCTCGGGGGACTGGCCACCGCCGGCGCCGGCGCAACCCGCGACCGAGCCTGGCCGGGCAGGACACTGACCCTCGCCAGGCACTAACGCCCGAGCAGCGCTCGGCCTGGCCGGGCAGGACACTGACCCTCGCCAGGCACTGACGCCCCGAGCCTGCACGGCGTGCGCCCTGCCCGTCTCCACGAGGTCGGGAGACCTGCACCCGGAGGAGCCGACTCCGCGCCCGCCCTCCCCGCCGCAGCCCTCGGCCCCGCAGCCGACCTGGGGCTCTCGCGCAGCAGCAGCGCCGCGGACGCCGCCATCCTGGAAGCCGCCGCGCCCGGCTCGCGGCGCCCGGCCCAGCCAATGGCGGCGCGCGGACGGAAAGCCGGGAGGCCCACGCCGCGCCGCGGCCGGGCTGCGCGCTGCTGCAGGGCGGGCGCTCGGACCGCGGGGCTGCGGCCGGCCCCCCGCGGGACGGGACCGAGGGGCGACCCCAGGGCCACCGCGGCGGAGCCCAGGCCGAGCATGTGTGCATTTGCACCTACCTGTTAGGGTGTGTGTGTGCACACCTAGCTGCTGTTTTACATGCACGTGTAGCTGCATGTAGCGCAGATGTAGGGCGCGTGTGCCTCCAACATGTCAGCAGACACAGGTACTTGGAAAAGTCGTGGGAGAAGGGTACCCAAAGACAAGCTGGGGTTGGGGAGTGCGCCTTCGGCCAAGCCTGGGCCGGATCCTGGCTGTGGCTGCTGATGTCCGCTACTGCTGGAGGGGCAGCAGGGGAAGGCTCAAGTTCTTGGGTCCCTGCCCCCCGCCGTGGGAGACCTGATTGAACGCCTGGCTTCAGCCTGGCTTCGGCCAGCCCCGGCCCTTGCAGGCATATTCGAGAGTGACCCAGTGGGTGGGAGCTTTGCACGCCCTGCCTGCCCTTGTGTGTGTGTGTGTGTGTTCGTGTTCACCTGTCTCTCTCTTGTCTTTGAAATTAATCTTTGAAATGTTAAGTGTATTTTAGGGCAATAAAATCCGTGCCTCTTTTTCTTCTTCATAAGACATATTTCCATGGACTCTGATGACGCTCCCCTCCGACACTGCTCAGATTTCTTTAGTAAGGCAGGTTGAAGCAAGCCCGCCGCAGCTGGCTGTTGGAGTGGGCCCGGAGCAGGTCCAGGCAGGAGGGTGAGCGTTGCCAGCTCTCTCTGGGCACTGTGCCATCGGCCCCCCTTGTACCTGCACCCTGCGGGCTCTGCGGGGCGCCCATGGGTTTGCTGCATGTGCACCCAATTCCTTCAACCATGCTCACTGGATGCCCGATGTCTTCAGGCACTGGGGGTGGCTAGAGAAGTCCAAAAGCATCCTAAGACCAGGCAGGGCATGAGGGTGGGAAAAGCCTTGATGACAGGCGTAGCATGTGCATTTACGGGTTAATTATTCAATGCTGGGTTGTTGTTTTTTTTTCTCTGCATTAACCATTTTTGAGCAAAGAAATTTTGTGATGGGAGCTTTTTTTTTTTTTTAAGATTATTGTCAGCAGAATCATAGTTGGACTGAGAAGAGATGGGCAGGAAAGCAGTGGGCACGCAGGGAGGGTGGCGCTGGGGATGGACAGCCGGTGGACGGGTCAGAGCTTTGCTTCCACTGTAGGATCTTCAGGGGCTGGCAAGACACTGTATTTCATTTTCCTTCCTAATTATGTTTTGCTTACATTATTATTTAAATTAGTTGGCATGGCTAAAGCAGTCCAAAAACATCCTAACTGAAAGGAGAAGCCAGGTTGCAAATTAAAAGTGAATAATCCTGGCCAGCGCTGTGGCTCAATAGGCTAATCCTCCGCCTAGCGGCGCCGGCACACCGGGTTCTAGTCCCAGTCGGGGCGCCGGGTTCTTTCCCGGTTGCCCCTCTTCCAGGCCAGCTCTCTGCTGTGGCCAGGGAGTGCAGTGGAGGATGGCCCAAGTGCTTGGGCCCTGCACCCCATGGGAGACCAGGAGAAGCACCTGGCTCCTGGCTCCTGCCTTCAGATCAGCGCGGTGCGCCTGCCGCAGCGCACCAGCCGTGGCGGCCATTGGAGGGTGAACCAACGGCAAAAGGAAGACCTTTCTCTCTGTCTCTCTCTATCACTGTCCACTCTGCCTGTCAAAAAAAAAAAAAGTGAATAATCCTGCATGAATAATTGAGTTAACCGCACTGTGTGCTCCACACACAGATACATTTAGCTCCACGTACTCACCCAATTTGTCTGCATCTGAAAAAAATCTACTTGTGAATCTATATCAACTGTAGGTCTCGGATCCAGACACAGATCGCCTCAGCTGGCATGCTTTTCTGTGCGATCGTTTGCCTTTGGCCTTGAGTCACTGCTTGAAGTGGAGCCACTCCCCACTAACACTGCTCAGACCTCCAGTGAAGCTCACCCCTCCTCCTCCCCCGGCAAAGCAGCATTGTGCTCAAGTCTGAATCTTTTCACCTTGTACAAGCCGTGAGCCTCACTGAGCTTCCCATCCCAGACCTGTGAGCTGGCGAGTTAAATAACGTGCTGCGCAAGTGCAAGGTGCACTCTGCCCTGCTTGGGGAACAAAACGTGGCCCCATCCTTCTCCGTTCCAGCCCCAAGGGCCAGCGACTGCCCTTGGACGAGGGCCAGCACCTGCTCGTGCACCAGGCGGAGCTGAAATGACCTTTCAGGTGAGCCTTAGAGAGTTCCGGCCCAAGTGCTTCAGATCCTGGAAGTGCAAGGTCAACCTCTCCTGTGCACGGATGGGAGCGTGGTTTCCAGTCACACAATGCGCAGCCCTTGTGGGTGGCAGACAGCGGCTTGTTTGTCCCACATCTGCTCCCTGGCTTCCCAGGGGAGTCACGTGTTTCCCTTACCACCTTCTCATTTAGGAGCTGATTATGTGAATGTTCTCGTGTTGTCTGCGACGCCTGGAAAGAGTGTTGAACATGGCCTCTTCCCAGGTCTGTGTGTGACAGGCGGTGACGTGCAAAGGGAGCCAGAGGCCCAGAAAGAGAACAGCATAAGGTGGCAAAGTCCGTGGAGCCACGGCTACTGATGCTGACCTGCCCTTGACCTGACGGAAGGTTGGGAGGAAACCTTCATTAAAAGGTAGCAAAACCACATTTTGTGAGCCATGAGCAGATCCCCTCCTAATCCATTCTCACACTTGAAGCAGAAAACCGTCTCACATTTTCGCCCCTCCATTTTCATTTGCACCTGCTCCCCTCCAGGCCGCCTCCCAGAGGCCTGTGCTGCTAATAGGACTGGCGGTGTTCACACACAGACTGCGAGGAAGCCCCGAGGGGCCTACAGTCATTTCCACCAGTGAACACTGGGGAGAACTAGACCCGCGCGAGGGAGGAAAGATCACAGACCACCTTTCACCGACCAGCGAAGGGAGGACAAACAGGAAGCTTGGCCAACAGACAGCAGAACAGAGAAGCCAATGGCTCAGAGGAAGGAGCCCCGGGGCAGAGCCAGACCTCTGCCATGGCAGAGTCCACGGAACCACGAGACGTCCCTGGATCTCCCCATTCACAGAGGAGCAGGCAGTCAGGGGAATGGCTGTCGCTGGGGACGGCCCAGGGCTTGGAGGCTGCAGAAGCACCATGGATCACTCGTTTGATGCTTCTGAGTGGAACAGAGTGAACCAAGGGACATCATTGCAGAGGTGGAAGAGGGAGCTGGCAAATCAGATGCTACACAGGAAAGTAAGCTGGGGCCCGCACTATGGCGTAGTGGGTTAAGCCACTGCCTGCAGTGCTGGCATTCCATACGGGCAATGGTTCAAGTTCCGGCTGCTTTACTTCCAATCCAGCTCTCTGCTGTGGCCTGGGAAAGCAGTAGAAGATGGCCCAAGTCCTTGGGCCCCTGCACACACATGGGAGACCTGGAAGAAGCTCCTGGCTCCTGGCTTTGAATTGGCGCAGCTCCGGCCGCTGGGAGTGAACCAGTGGATGGAAAACCTCTCTGTCTCTGTCTTTCTCTCTCTCTGTAACTCTGACTTTCAAATAAATAAATAAATCTTAAAAGAAAGAAAGAAAGAAAGAGAGAGAGAGAGAAAGAAAGGAAGGAAGGAAGGAAGGAAGGAAGGAAGGAAGGAAGAAAGAAAGAAAGAAAATGGGGACACTTGGAGGTAGAAAGCAGGGGGACAGGCTCCCTAGAGGCCAGCATGATCGGGGCCTGGTCTCCAGCCCTGGCCTGGTTATTAACACTGCTGACACCCACGGCCCCTGATCCTCCTCCACCCGCAGTGGAAATGAAGGAATGAAGTGACAGCCTGGACGACCGGCGGCCTCCCGGACAACCAGAGGCTCGGGCAGCAGTTACAGAGGGTGGATCCGACACCTGGGGGTCACCCCTCGTGCATGGGGTATGCGGCCACCACGGAGAGGGAAGCCTGGTGCAGGACACTGAACAACAGCTCAGAGCTGAGCAAGTAAAAGCTGGATCCACTAAAGGAAGCTGCCCTCAGCCCTGCTTCCCCTTGGGCTTCCGGCCAACAGGGCGCAACACTGAGTTAGCAAACTGGCATCCGAGACAGAAAGGCAAACGGAACTCACAGGAGTAGGCCAAGAGCCAAGAATACGCTAGCACGTCAGGAAGAATGGAGGAGTGGACAGAGCTGTCGGAGCCATGAGCAGGCCAGATGGGAAGAGATGGTCTGACAACCACACAGCTGAGCTGCAGAAACAGAAGTGGGAGAAAGGCACACCCCGCAAAAAACACATGACTCCATGAGAATGCTCCTGAAGACAGACCTTAATCAGGAAGTGAATTCTGTGTAAGAAGGGCTCAGAGACAGTCTTAGGAAACAGCAAAAGTAGGTGGAAAGGGCAAAACCAAAGAAAGGGATGGGGGCCACAAACTCGCCATTTCCTAACCAGAACGTCCGACGCAGAGCAGACACGGCACAGGCCCGAGGGCCATTCCCAAGACAAAGCGGGCAGTGACAAGAAGGGAAGTCCCCAGGGCCATGACGCTCGCAGCACATGAGAGAGCCTGCTCGCAGCGCGGGACAAAGAATCTGACTCCCTTCTGCTGCTCCACGCTGGGCAGGGGGTTGGGGAAGCCCAGGGGCGCCCGCTGTGACACTGGTGAGACATTCAAACCGCATCGGCCTCTTACCGCATGGGGACGCCTCGTCCTGGACCCACCCCAAGCCAGGTGCCCTTCCCCACGTTCCCAGGACATCTGGGGTCTGCTTGGGAGCCTGCTTGCTCCCCTGGAAAGCCTCGTCAGATGCGTAAGAAATCCTGTTACACCTCTCCACTGTGTGTGCGGCACCATCAGACTAGACAGGGAAGGCAGTAATTAACGGAGGACAATTTCCCCACAACGTTGAAAAAAAAGAATCTGTAGTTGAATAAGTTGTTTTCCAGAAAAACTGATACAGAATGATGACACTGGGACAAATTCTGCTAAAGCCGTCAAATTCCAAGGGTAAAGGAAAACTTCCAGCAGTCAGGTGGGAAAAGCAAGCCACACACAGGAGGCAGAGGTCAGCCGCTCTCAGCCTTGTCCACAGTGGTATCCAGGAAGTTCAGAGACAAGGGGACAATGTCCAGACAAGGTGCTTCTCCATTACTAAGGCACGAGTCAGGCAACGTTCAGCATGACTGCACTCACAGTCTTCATGAGCTTTTTAGAGAGCTGAAAACAAGCCGGGGCCAGCGCTGTGGCGCAGCAGGTTAACACCCTGGTCTGAAGCTCCAGCATCTCATGTGGGCGCCGGTTCGAGACCTGGCTGCTCCAGTTCCCATCCAGCTCTCCACTATGGCCTGGGAAAGCAGTAAAAGATGGCCCAAGGACCATGCATGGAAGACCCGGAAGAAGCTCCTGGCTCCTGGCTTCAGATCAGCGCGGCTCTAGCTGTTGCGGCCAATTGGGAAGTGAACCATCAGATGGAAGACCTCTCTCTCTCTCTCTCTGCCTGTCCTCTCTCTGTGTAACTCTGACTTTCAAATAAAAATAAATCTTTATAAAAAAAAAGAAAACAAGCCAACAAATAAATAAAAATAGAGGCTGACATTGTGATGCAGTAGGTTAAGCTGCTGCTTGCAACACCACAATCCCGTATCAGAGTGCCAGTCCAAGTCCTGGCTGCTCCAGTTCTGATGCATCTTTCTGCCCATGTGCCTGGGAAAGCAGATGATGGCCCAAGTACTTGGGCCCCCATCACCCTCATGGGAGACCCAGATGGAGTTCCTGGCTCCTGGCTTCACCCTGAGCCAATCCCAGCTATTCTAGCCATTTGGGGAGTGAACGAGGAGACAGAAGCTAGCTAGCTCACTCTCTTTCTCTCTCTATCACTTTGCCTTTCAAATAAATGATTCCTTTAGAAAGAAAGAAAGAGGCGGGCAGTGTCGTGGCAGAGCAGGTTAAGCCACCACCTATGACACCAGCATTCCATATGGGCACTGGTTCGTGTCCCAGCCCCTATTTCCAACACTGCTCCCGGCTAATAGGCCTGGGAAAGCAGTGGAGGAAGGCCCAAGTCTTTGGGTCCTTGCACATCGGAGACACAGATGAAGCTCCTGGTCCCAGTCATTGTGGCCATTTGGGGAGTGAACCAGCAGATGGAAGATCTCTGTTTCTCTCTCTCTTTCAAATAAATTTTTTCAAAAAAGAATCATTTCTTTATTTTCTCATATCAAAGAATCAATCAATGCTGTGTTAGATGAAATATTCCAGTTAAAAATAAATTAACTGTAACTTCACAAAGTTTCCCGTAATCTTTTTAGAAACTGCAATCTGGAGAATGCAGTCTAGATCAGCTCAGGGACTATGGAAATATTTTCCTTGCTTATTGTGTTTAATCTATTAAGCAAAAAGCATAGGGAATGCAACTAGATATATGTTTATTTTGAAAATAATACAAGCTGGGGGGCCAGCGCTGTGGCGCAGTGGGTTAACACCCTGGCCTGAAGCACCAGCATCCCATATGGGCGCCAGTTCTAGTCCCAGTTGTTCCTCTTCCAGTCCAGCTCTCTGCTATGGCCTGGGAAAGCAGTAGAAAATGGCCTAAGCACTTGGGCCCCTGCACCTGCATGGGAGACCTTGAAGAAGCTCCTGGCCCCTGGCTTCGGATCAGCACAATTCCGGCCATTGCGGCCAATTGGAGGGAAGACTGCTCTCTCGCTGCCTCTCCTCTCTCTGTAACTCTGACTCTCAAGTAAAAAATAAATAAATCTTTAAAAAAGAAAAAATACAAGCTGGGGCTGGTGCTGTGGTGTAGTGGGCTAAGCCTCCACCTGTGGCGCTGGCATCCTACATGGCCACTGGTTCTGGTCCCGGCTGCTCCTCTTCCGATCCAGCTCTCTGCTACGGCCTAGGAAAGCAGTGGGAGATGACCCAAGTGCTTGGGCCCCTGCATCCACGTGGGAGACCTGGAGGAAGCTCCTGGCTCCTGGCTCCAGATCTGCCCAGTTCCGGCTGTTTTGGCTAATCGGGGAGTGAAACAGTGGATGGAAGACCTTTCTCTGTGTCTCTCTCTGTAACTCTAGCTCTCAAATAAATAAATCTTTTAAAAAAGAAAGAAAATAATACAAGCAGCTTGACTTCTGTGGCTTGCCTCATGAATCCCACGGAGACTCTGACCCCATCCTGGAGACTGAACAGACACCCCTGTGCTCAGGGACTATGTTAGGAAGAGACGGCTCTCACGTGCAGCAGTTTCTCTTTTATCCATGTTAATGCAATCATGTTTATGTACCTACATCACATGTAACATATACAATACAAACAGCTATCTAGATATAAATATGTATAGAGTAATTACCAGAATTAAGTTTGGCTGACGTTCATGATATTATTTTGGATTGGCAAGATTTCATTCAGTTGTATCATCTATTTGTACCTCTCTATATTACCTGAATTTCTGATCATGAGAATAAATTATTGTCAGAAAAACAGTAAAGTCATTATTCAAAAAATAATGAAAACAAAGAAAATGGGTTATGCATCCAATGCGCATTTTTTTGAATTGGGTATTAAAGTAAGTTGTGTATCAATAAAAACACTTAAGAACTTAAACATTAATGTCATTCTTTTATTGTTATTGATTGATTCAAGAGGCAGAGAGAGACAAAGAAGCGCAGAGAGCTCCCCCCACTGGGTCGCTCCCCAGATGCCTGGACGGCCAGGGCTCGGCCGGGCCAGTGCCAGGAGCCAGGAACTCAATCTGGGTCCCTTAGGAGAGTGGTAGGGACCCAAGTACTGAGCCCATTAACATCATTCTTGTAGCAGTTGATAAATAACGTGAATCCATTAACCATTACCAGAATTTACTTAGATTTTTGTGTGTTGAAGGAATGAAAGGTCCAAAGTGAATTATTAATAGGGCTGCATTTGTAAAGACTGCAAACGATGTATCTCTTCGGTCTAACTACTGAGCTCTTGTTTACTTAGGACTTTAAGGGCTTTCTCTCTGCTGTTCGCCAGATCAGTAAATCAACAGGACGGACTCAGTGACTCTGACAGTATCGGAGTCAGCACAGCATTGCGAAAGACCAAACTGTTGCCTTTAACCAGCCAGGAAGCCCGAGGACACCGCCCAGGCCCTCTGTGTCTCTCCCCAGTCTCCCCATGGCACCAGCGTGCCGCGGCCACTCTCAGTTCTGCAGAGAGTCCTGTCGTCTCTCCTGGGTGACATTCTCTCCCGATGGTAGAAGGGCCATGTAGAGCTAACGGGGTCGTTACAGGGCCTTAGAGACACTGCTGACCGGTAAATGGGTAAGAACCGCAGTCTCCCAATTGTCCACCCAAAGTGCCAACGGCACAGGTATGGAGAAACCAACCTTCCAGACGCACCATGCACCTCAGAAACACTCTGTACTGTCAGACGACACTGTCACCCTCTTCTCTTGACCTCCCAGGGTTTGTGAGGCAAAGCAAACGTCTTAGCAAGGGGTCACATGCAGTTGGTTGCACCCTTAGCCAACTGCGGTAAAGCCATACGTCTGTCCTCACGTCGCCTGGGGAGGTCATGACTTCCAGGTCCGTGCTGGTACCACACAGAACATTAAACTATTCAAACCCGTTTACAGGGAGAACCTGCATCTCAGCTGCAGGGCCGACTGACGCGGCACAGGAATCCACGCACCCACCCTCAAGGACAGACAGTGGGCGTTGCCAAAGACCTGGCTTCTTTTATTCTTGATTTAATCCATCCTTAAGTGAACAGATTTTACTGGGACCCTGAAAAACGAGTGAAAATTCTGCACTTGCTTTGTAGCTGTGTTTCCAGAACTCGAGATAGTGCTTCCACGCCACAACCCAGTTCTCTTCTAATACTCTGCTCCAAATGTGCCTATAGAATATTCTTTGGAATTCCTCACGTCTTTTTCTAGTTTTGCATGACAGAACCTGTCCTTCCAAGTCAAACATGGCAAATATGGCGCATTTGACCCTTGACTTCACTTGGGTGTAAAAGTCTCAGCTTGATCACATCTAGCACACGTATCTTGGTTTCTAACACCACTGTCCAACGAAAAGACCAGGGAGTCTTGGAGAAATGGCTGATTATGAGACCAGGTGAGCAAATACAAAAAGAGCCTGAAAGTATCTTGTAGGGGGAAAAGCAAGAAAATGCAAAAAAAATAATGTATGTCCCGACTGCCCCACTTCTGGCCCAGCTCCCTGCTAATGGCCTGGGAAAGCAGTGGAACATGGCTCAAGTGCTCAGGCCCCTGCACCCACCTGGGAGATCCAGATGAAGCTCCTGGCTCTTGGCTTCAGCCTGGCCCAGATGGCTACAACCGCCAGTACTGGAAGACCGACCTCTATCTCTCATCTCTGTAACTCTGCCTTTCAAAGCAATCAATCAAAATAAAATAATAAAAAATAAAGTGTAATAAACTTTTTAAACCTTAATGTTGTGGATCTGTTAAAGGGACACAGGAGCCAACTGAAAAAATTCCCAGTAGCCAAAGCTGAGACAACTTGAGCCACAAAATAAACTAAGTAGTTTAGGATTATAAACCAATGTATAAAATAAATACCCACAAGCCCATACTGATATCAACAAATCATACAATAAACAAAGATTAAATAAATAAACCTGAGAGGAGACAAGCGCACGCACTTCACGTCCACACCTTCCCCCACAGGGCGAAGGCCAGCTCCACACTCCTGCCATGGCCTCCTTCCAAAGGTGTGAAGGGGACGGGCACACAGCCCCTGGCCGGGAAGGGTCCTGGCACAGGCTGCTCCCCAGATGGACAGCGTGCACTGATGCTGTGAAACGCCCATGAAAATGGCAACCGACCTCGGTGGTCTTCTTTCTGGGAACCCACAGAGCCGGTTACATCATGAGAAAAACAGCAGACAGATCCCAGTTCTGGAACCTTCTACAAAATACTGGGCCAGGATTCCTTTAAACTCTCAGAGGTCATCAAAGACAAATGTCTAAGAAACCATCACCACCCCTAGGAGCCTAAGGAGGCGCCGGCTCTGTGCACAGCGGGCTAAGCCTCCACCTGCAACGCTGGCATCCCATGTGGGCCCTAGTTTGAGTTCTGGCTGTGCCATTTCTGATCCAGTTCCCTGCGAGTGCACCTGGGAAACCAGCAGCAGATACCCCAAGTCCTTGGGTCCCTGCACCCACGTGCAAGACCTGGATGAAGCTCTAGGCTCCTGGATTTGGCTGGCCCAGCCCCAGCCGTTGTGAACCAGCAGGTGGAAGATCTCTGTCTCTCCCTTTCTCGCACTGTAACTCTTTCAAATAAAGAAATCACTTTTTTAAAAATAGGAGCCTAGGGGCCAGCACCATGGCTCACTTGGTTAATCCTCCACCTGCGGCACTGGCATCCCACATGGGCATCGGGTTCTGTCCCGGTTGCCCCTCTTCCAGTCTAGCTCTCTGCCGTGGCCTGGGAAGGCAGTGGAGGATGGCCCAAGTGCTTGGGCCCCTGCACCCGCATGGGAGGCCAGGAAGAAGCACCTGGCTCCTGGCTTTGGATTGGGGCAGCACCGGCCATGGCAGCCATTTGGGGAGTGAACCAACGGAAGGAAGACCTTTCTCTCCGTCACTCTCTCATTGTCTAAAACTCTACCTGTCAAATAGAGAAAAAAAAAAATAAGAGCCTAAAGAGACACAAGGACTAAGTGTAATGTGGTTTTCCAGATAGGATGGTGGGACAAAAAATGATATTAGAAACTAAGAAATCTGGATAGAATATGGACTTTAATAATAACCTGTCAATATTGGTTCCTTATTTGTAACATGCCATTCTAATCAAAGATGCCAGTAATAGGGGAAACTGGGAGTAGGAAGTATGGAATTCTGCACTGTCTCCCCAGTTTCCCTAAATATAAATTTTATCTCTTTAAAAAAATTGTAAACTATGTGCGGCTTTTTGAGATATAAGAGAACAGGGCTGTCTGGATGACACTTTGACAGCTGAGAGCTGTTCTCATCTCCGTACTTTGCACAGACTGTGGCTTTGGGGAAGGCAGGGCCGTGTACCCCTTCCGGGGAAGGATCTATTTCCTGCAGCCTCTGGGAAGGTTGCGGGCAGCCCCCAAGGGCACCCCTAGCCCAGGGCCGCACCCGCCCCTCAGAGCAGTGGCGTGTGTGAGCACAGTGTACGTGCCTCTGCCATG